AGGAGCCGCGGCGGGGTCTCGGCGGGGTCTCGGCTTCCCGCGGGATGCGGCCGCGAGCGCCGCGCGGGCCCGGGCACGCGCACGGGGTCACGGCACGCGGCCGGGGCGGCGCGAGGCGCGGCGCGCGGCCCGATGCGAGGGAACGGTGCAGCTGCGGCCGGGGGTCGGGCCGGGTTAGGTTTCGACCCGGACGGCGGTGGGCACGGCCCCAGCCGCACGAAAGCGAGCAGCATCTCAACGACGCTCTCGGGAGTAGGGTTTGGGTTTTGGGTGCGGAGCCGGGAGTTGGCTTAATGGTCTGTCCGCATGACCCTCCAAAGGAGGGACGTGCTGTGACCCCGTGGCCGTGCGGTCCTCGCCGTGTGAAGTGGCAGAACAAGCCGCCCAGCACTCACCCGCCGCGATCCATCCCACATGCTGTGGTGCAGAGCACAGTACAGTATCCGCTCTGTCCTGTGCAGCAGCGCACAGACACTAAGCCCCTTGCAACCACAGCCCCGTCCCTTGCATACAGCAAAGCAACAGCGCGGCTTGCCCTGCGTCCTGCCTTCCCTGCTCCATGTGGTGCTGGGCAGGGCCCCGTGCCGTGTGTGCTACTGGATCTGCACGCCCTCACCCTGACACGGGGCAGCCCGGCACTGCTGCGGTCACAGCAGATCAATCTACCCACAGAAATCCATACAACTGAAAGTCACCACAAACCAACAAAAAAAAACGGTATAAAAATACCTCAAAACCACAGCGTGACATCACACAGCACGTGGGGACTGCTGCTGCAGTATGAATGAGCACCCTGCCAGCTTGAACCTGCGTTCAGAAAGGCAGCTCATGTTCTGTGCTGCATAACAACCACACACCAGTGCTAGAATCATAGAAACATTGGAGTTGGAATGAGCTGTTAAAGACCATCTGATCTAATCCTGTGCAATGAATAGAGACACCTACAGCTCCATCAGGGGCTCAGAACCCCATCCAGCCTCCAGGGTCAGGGCATCCGCCACATCTCTGGGCAACCTGTGCCCTTATTGTAAAAAGCTGTTTCCTTATAACCAATAATACCTAGAGAGAAGCTGTGCAGCAGGCAGGCTGGGCTAGCCACACTGCAGACCGAGTGGGATGTGGTTGGACAGAGCCACACAGACCCCAGCAAGGAGAAGGTTTGTGCTGGTCCTGCAGGAGCAGCATGGGCTAAGTCTGCGGCTGCTGCAGTGGCCCCAGGAACAGTTCTTCCTCTGCTTAACAAATTCTGGCATGCCTCCATCAGCCTACAAGATTTCTGGGTAAGTCACAGGGAAATAGTCTATGAGACCATACAGAGGGCTGCCCGGAGTATGGATGTGGGACTGTGTGTGCAAGTGCACAAATGTGCATCCAATATGTTCTGAACCGGAAAAAAAAAAAAAAAAAAAAAAAAAAAAAAACCTCTTTTTCCACAGAGCAAAGAAGCTCAGAAGAAGGAAGGCACTGCTTCTTCAGCAGTGCCCACACCATTGCTTCTCCCAGCTGTTGCAGGCTGACATGTGGTCCTAGCACAGGTAAGGCCTTGGTTGCTGAGCACAGATTCTGGGTTAATGATTGACAGTGAGAATAAAGGCTGTTCTCCCTCTGCCCCTCTCTGTTTATGAGCAAGGTGTGACACATGGAGATCTCCTCTAAATGTGCACTTCAACCTTACAGAAACTGAGACTGTATTTAATTATCACACACCAGCAAGGAGAGGAAAGTCTGCAGCAGAGCCTCCACTGCATTTGCTGTCTGACAGTTCTTGTCTGGGCTGCACGCGGTATCGCAGATCAGACACTGCGTGCTGTGGGTGCAGCACATGTTTGTTTACTCCGAAACAGCCCCAAAGCCTTTGAAGCCAGTGGATAACAATTAACACCTACATGGCGAGGAGGATCTTAACACAAAGGTGTTACCTGCAACATCTTCGGGCATTACCTCTGCACAATGGCCTGATTGATCAGAAAGCTGTTGGGAAGCATTCTTCTGGGGGTGGGTGAGGAGGGTGCAGCACTTTCTCCACTGGTGAGCCCCCCTGCAGCACAGAACGCCAGCAGCACACATCTAAGAAATGAGTCATCACTGTGCTCCTTATTTTAAGGAAAATGCACCAACTTTTAAAACCGATTAATAATGGGCTATTGTTCTCACAGCGCTGTGGAGGAGCCGCCTGCTCAGCCCTCTGGCTGACACCCAGGCCATGCTCTGCCCTGAGACCATCAGCCTGCACACGCCACTCTGGCATTGCCCCAGAAGGACTCCTGCTCCCCGCTGCCCCAGCTGCTCCTTCCCATCCATTCCCTTTCATGTGCCAACATGCACAGTTGCAGCTCTGTGTAATGCTGTAGAAAACTGATTCCTGTGATTTAAAAAAAAAAAATTTTGCCAGATTAGTTTTCATCCATATTGGTTCTGCAGAAACCAGAAAATCAGCAACCAACAGAGCTTGGTGCCGTAGCGGGGCGTACCATGTGAGCCGGCCTGGGGGCACGGTGCATCAGGACGATGATGTCTCCCCAGGGCTCACACTGGCTGACAGCACTTGGCAGGCAGCCTGGCTGCAAGGGCTTCATGCATAAATACATGTACATGGCCATGAGATACGCTCCTGACATTCACATATCAGTTTCGCAAGAGGGGATGATCGGATTTAACAGCTCACTGTCACTGCTGTTGTTCTTCCTCCCCTCCCGTTGCCCTTTCCCACCCACCGCTCCTTGGATATCTCCATGAACCTCTCTGACATACCATGCTGTGCCAGCGCCATGGCCGGTGCACACCAACCCCATGCACAAGCATAAGGCTTCCCCACCGTGCTGCCTGGTGCTGGGGCAGTGCCCTCAGGGCATCCCAGCCCAGCTGCTGCAGCTACCATGTTAGCACAGGGCCAGCTGGCACGCTGCATGTAAGGCTTCGCAATTCATAGTCGTCTAGGCTGAATGGCCCTTGCAGTTTCTCTGTTACTACTGGAAATGGCAATAGGGATAATTGGTACTTTGGTTTTATGTCTTTGAGACCTTATCTGAAGATCTCCAGTCTGCCAGTGCCAGTAAAGATTCTCAAGCACTGTGCCAGCAGACATGGGCTAGTTGAGCAACTTGCCTAAGAGCACAGAGGAGATGTTCCTCGTTTTGCTGCTAACATGACAACACAAACTCTGACCTTTAATTTCTGGCTCTCAGCAGCACCTCTCTCCCTGGTGTTGTCACCAACAAGCGTGTTACTGATTGACGTCAGTGGCCATGGCTCCCAGGAGAAGCTCCCGCAGTGCTCCTGGTTGGTCTCTTCTCCACCATTAATAAACCATGGAAGAGAGACAGAGTGACCCTTGGGCGCCATTACACTCCAAACATGTTACTGCAGGCACTGCCTTTTTTCTTGGTCTCCAGCTGGTTTGGGCTTGGGGATAAAGTTGAAACCAGAATGAAAAGATAAACCAGAACCAGATGAAAAGATAAAACAGTGTCATTGAAATCCGCCTCATAGCCTCTGGAGATCTGATTTGTGATTCTTCAAACTTTTCTTCTGTTAACACAGTTGAATACATTTGTTTGCTCCTTCCTGCATGTTGTTACCAGCAAAACCTCCAATTACTAAAGGCAAAAAAGGTCATAATTCCTGCTGGTTGTATTTTGCATTTCTCCTAGCCTGGATAATGAAAATCAATAAAACCACTTTCCCTGCCAAGTCTCAGTGGTACAATGTTGGTGAATAAAGGGAGAGCAAACTAACAGCTTTCTTGAGAACTGTGGTAGAATTTAAAAAAAAAAATACAATTAAAAAAATCTATCTGCAAGCTACATGAAGTCACATTCTTCCAAAGTTTAATCTGAGCCTCATTTAAAGTTGAAATAATAAATAAAGGAATTGTGATATAGGCTTGCAAAGTAAGGTGTTACTCAGTTTCCATCTGTGATGCCACCCTCAGTTTACCCCAAATCTTCTTTTTGCGCCTGTAACGATATTGACTGAGCTCAACAAAGAACTTTTTAACACCTGTGTTCTGCAAGGTTACAGCCAGCCCTACATCTCCTGAGCCACAGAAATAACAGTGTGAACCAGATGAGGGAAATACAGTGTCAGTTCATTGGGGTCGGATCGCATCTCCTCCTCTGGCTGAGGAAGGGCACGTCCCACTGCCACGCTGGGGGATGCTCAGGCTGCTGGATCTCCTGCCCAGATGGGGTCACAGCCACCTATCCCCACCACAGACATTACATTAGCAACACATCAGTGCATCCTGCTGGGCTTCACCAGCACCCTGCTACCTGTCAGCATGTGTTTTCCCCCGTAAGAAACAGCTGAGTGCAGAGCTGAGTGCTGGGGGCTTCCATACCCACTCTGCAGTATGGAATGTTTTGCTTACAGTGGGATGATGGGTACACTTACTTAAGAGCTGATGGTAACAAACTGTTTATAGTATAGGCAGGAGATGGCTCCATCTAAATAGGTCTAAATGTTCATAAAAGTTAGGCAGGTACAGAAATTAGTACCTTGGAAAACATCAAAGGTATGTTCAGAGAAATCCAAAAGGGAGGGAATGTCTGAATAGAGCCCAGGGGAGGCTTAAGTACATGAGATACACGTCTGGAGATTTCTCTGAAATGCTCCTCAGCCAC